GGCACAGAGTTCCTCACGTCGTATGGATACGATAGTAAAACATGACGTGCGGATAGGGTTAAGTGGTTGCACAGGGTTCCCCACGTCGTATGGATACGATAGTAAAACACGACGTGCGGATAGGGTTAAGATATAACATTTGTTTATATGGTTTGTTAACCGTAGATGAAGAAAAACTTAATGTTGATGAGTCATACGGTAAATACTGCGTTGTGAATACATCCCTATGATCAACAATTTAAATAAATTGCTCTTTAAAAAAATTCAATACAAATCAGTCAAATTATTGGTAAAACATATTCAACATAGTAACCTACAATCTATTGTTTGTTTGTTGTTTTTTTAAAATGTAGGTTCCTTTTGCCGTCATCATGCCAGTCTGTCACCTGTATACAAACCTCAAAGACTCTGACCTGAAGGACGGAGTGGAGGGAAGGATTGCCAATGTTGTGGCAGAAACCCTCGGGAAACCCATAGAGGTGAGATCTGATTGCTTTTTGTTTTAGTTGAGGTTTAACGGCGCTCGCAACTGCATAAGGCTTATAGCGCCAAGGGGTGGATGTCAACAGAGAAGTCCTTACAGGGAATCAGGCTTACTCTGTTCACCTCTCTAGCTTCAACAGCACAAAGTCTGCTTCGACTATTAAGGCACCCCGGAAATAGCTGTTCACAAGAGAGTGACAATTATACAAAAGAAGTAGAGGAAAAATGACGATAGTAAGGATGAGGAAAGAAAAAGCAGCTTTATTCGATGTTTGGTTAGTTTTCCTGCGTTGCGAATAAATGTTTATTTTTATAAATTGAATTAAACAATAGGCCTAAGTGTGGTGACTTGCCTCTCTCAACAACACCTTCACTTTGTCCGTTTTACAACACATGGGTTTGGTACAACCACGGAAACCCATACGCAGGATGGAAAGAGTTGATTTCTCGGGTTATGTTAACCCTTCTCTTTTGCTTTTGAATTTCTCTCCAGCGAGTCACCGTCATCATCATCCCCGGTGTTCGCATCCAGCGCCTGGAGAGCACAGCGCCAGCGTGTACCTTCAACGTCAGCTCCTTCGAGGTGTTCGACAAGGAGCGCAATCCGAAGTACTCGCCTGCCATTTACAAAGTTCTTCAAGAAGAACTTGATCTCCCCAAAGAAAGGTAACATTATTATGTCTTCTATCTCTAGAGCTCTTCTGGCTTAGTGGGATTGTTTGATGGAATGATCTCGGCTGTCTGTGTGTCACATTCCCTCACAGGAAATCATCTAGTGTGGTGATGATTCACAAGTATCTCCAAGCGAGACTCTGCTACACCTCTTTTACGAACTTTGCATTGGCTTCATGTTGAGAAAAGGATTGTGTACAAGTTGGCCACCATATGTCACAAATGTTTGAATGATGATGCACCATCATATTTATCAAATCTGTTAAGACTACATTCCAACTCGCAGTTTAAGGTCATCAGCTGACAAAGAGAAATTTATTTTACCATATATGAAACTTAAAACAATGGGTGAAAGGGCATTTGAATACCAAGGCCCCAAGATCTGGAATGCTTTACCAAGTACGTTGAGAGAAATCAAATCTTTTGATTCATTCAAATGTCAGCTGAAGTCGTTTCTGTTTCTAAATTAATAAGATAAATATTTGGAATAATTTTCTTTAGTCAGAACACAACGTTTTATGTTACTGTTGTATGTTTTACTGTATTGTAAAGCGCTCAGAGCCTGTGTACTTTATTCGGGGTTGAGCGTTTTATAAATGTAATTTATTATTATTATTAGTGATGATTTTGTAGCAACTTGTGCCTTTTTTTTTTTTTTTTTGTGAGAATCTGAAGTCCCTATCTAAGCCAGAGTAGCAAGGATTTCATTTCATTGAAGAGGTTGTTGGTAAAAAGCAGAAGCGGGTGTTAGGCTCTATTTTTCAACCCGAGTAAACAAAAAATAAGTTTCAATAAAATGAGCCCAATCCTGAAAAATAGAAACATCTCAATGAACACCAAAATGAAAGTCCTTAAATGCTATGTTTGGTCAACCCTTCTATATGGTTGTGAATGCTGGACAATCACTGACGACAGTGAAAATAAAATAGAAGCAACAGAAATGTGGTTTCTTAGGCGACTGCTAAGCGTATCGTGGAAGGAAAAGAAATCAAATGAGGTAGTGCTTGATGAAGCCCACGTGGGACGCTCAATGTTAAAAACAATCAGGAAATGACAAATGCAGTTTTTGGGACACCTGAATAGACATAAGGGTCTGGAACATCTAGCTGTCACTGGCAAAATTGAAGGCAAGCGAGGCAGGGGTAGGCCCAGAACTACATACTTAGGGAACCTAAACAAATGGGTAACTGGGAAAGATCACGGAAACATAGCTTTTTGAGAGCATCCGACCAAAGGAATGAATGGAGAACCATGATCGCCGATGTTTGTCGCAGATCTGGCACTGGATGATGATGAAACAAAAAATAGAAATGCTATCACTTAGAAATGTCTCGGCAAGCATTAATCTTGCTGTTCGGTTGTGCAGGAATGTTTGCCCACAACGATAAAAGACCAAGGACAGGTGACTTTTTTTTTTTAACCCTGCCCAATTCTATCATCTGGCGCTTTTGTGTTTAGTAATAACAACAAAGTAAGCTGCATTTTGGATTTAGAAATTAGCTATTAGTCTTAGAGTAAACACACAAGAACATGTTTTATAATATATAAATAAATAAATGAATAAATAAATGAATAAATATGTTTCTTCACTTTTATAACGTTTTTTGGTAAGTTACACATTCAAGTGTTGCCATAGCCCCAACTGGAGATGGTTACATCAACTGGTTAGTAGTTAATTGTTCAGATCATGTTAGTCCTACATTCCTCAGCTCTTTCGAGTCACGAGCAAGGACAGGTGACCTGGTGCTATCATAACTGTGTCACTCTAACTGGGGAATGTTCAACTTTCTGACCTTCTTAAGTCACTCAGTGAATGGTTGACGTGTGCTCTGCTGTGGTTTACTTCTTCTTTCCTATCAGCCATCTTTATCTCTCCTCCTTCTTTTTTGTTTGTTACTCTTTTGTAACCCCTCTAATCTTCGGCACTTATATGACCTTGTTGTGTTTCAAGTGCTGTAAAACTCTTACTAAAACTAAATGTCACTCAAGAGAAGTTTGTTCTTTTCAGTGCTCTTTTCTTAGCAGCCTAACTCTTTGTGCACCTACTTCTTCCACTGCTGTCAACTGGAGAAAATGTCCATGTGCCAGTTACATTTTCATCAAGTGGCTGAAATTCCTGAATTTTAAATTTTAGATCAAGATGTACTTGAAATTAAATTAAATTTTATCCAAAAGCGCTATTATTTTTGCAAATAATATACAGTAGAACGTGCTTTTAAGACCACCTCTCAAAGACAAAAATACTTTTACAAATGTGAAGTGTGCAAACAAAATGAGTTACTTCCCGTTAGTCCACAAATGGAGATATTGGCCAAAAATTGACACTACGGTCAAATCTGTAGAATTTCTATTGATACCATATTCTTTAATTATAACTTGCCTTTCATTATGTCATACTTATATATTGTCAAAACTTCACCTATAAGCGTGATGTGTGTATTTCCATGGGACTCGATCCGAGAAGTAACTCATTTTGTCATCACGCTTCACAAAAGACCACTCACCACTTCCCCACTTGCATGTATTTGTGAAATATTATAATAACGCTGTTCACCCCCCCGGGGCAGTGCTATTGACCGAAGTGTCTTTAGGCCAAAGGGGGGACATACCATGTTCTTATGCACAGAATAGAATTGTAATATATTGTTTAGATGGGCTGATTCATCTATGTCATGCTCATAACTGTGCCTGAACTGCGACAGGGAACTGCTGCTTTTTCTTTCCTAATCCTTACTATTGTTTTTTTTCCTCTACTTCTTTTGTATGTTTGTCACACTCTTGTGACACACTATTTCCGGAGTGCCTTGATAGTTGAAGCAGACTTTGTGCTGTTGAAGCTATAGAGGTGAGCAGAGTAAGCCTGATTCCCTGTGAAATACTTCTCTGTTGACATCCACCCCTTCGCGCTCATAGGACCTTGCGCCCGTTGTTGCAATAGTTTGTGAGTGGATGCTTGGCGGGTGCTCTGGTGTGGTTTGCTTCTTCTTTCCTATCAAACATCTATCGTCTTTATCTCCCCTCCTTCTTTTTTGTGTTTGTTACTCTCTTGTTGTAGCGCCTCTAATCTTCGGCACTTATACGACCTTATTGTGTTGCAAGTGCCGTAAAAGTCTTACTAAAACGAAACTAGTTTGTATAAATTTTCTCTTGTTCTTGTTTCCAGGTGCGTGGTCCTCTTCCATGATCTGGACAAAAACATGATCGCTGTGTGAGTCCGGGCGGAGTCTGCGTGGTCTACTTCACCTGCAACGACTACTTCAGGATGGGAACATATATGTGTGTGTCACGACGCGGTGGAATCAGGCGCTCGTCAATTTTTGGGCTTATGGAGTTATATCGACAGGCAAGAACTTAAATGGCAGCTGGATTGGAAAAATAAAGTAAAGTAAAGTAAAGGCATATGGGGTTATTGGTATCATCTTAAAGGTTATTCATGCGTGCCTTGCTTTCGCCGAAAAAAATATCCACTTAACTTGAATAGAAGTCGAGATATTTGCATTGAAGGAGGTGGGGTCACCTGGTTTCTGAAGTAAAATAAGCGGGAAGATGGCGGCCTTATTTTGGTGACCTCCATAGCTTTAGAGTTCTTGGAAACTGCAAATTAACATTTCTTTGTGCTTTTAATCAACTTTTTCCATAAAATCCACACTTTAAAAGGTTTTAAATGGACATACAAAGTGTTGAGCCAAAAAAAAAAAATTTGGGAAAAATGTCCAAACTGTGGAAAATGCCGATTTCTCGGATTCCATTATTTTGACTTGACGAGCGCCTGATCTCTCCACGAAGCCTCACATATGATTAAAAACCTGTGGTTAATTAATTTATTCCATGTACGTCATATCTTGATTGACAAGTGGGATCATTTCCTGGTGATTGAGTTGTAATAATATAACCAGAGTGCTTACTGCTGACTTTGTGCCGCTGCTCGGTGAAAGCTCCTGACCAGCAAGGTGTGATATAATAATAATAATAATAATAATAATAATAATAAATTACACTTTTATTTGTCCCAGAAGGGCACTTTGGTTTTTACAATGGCAAACATACATACATAAATACATAATTATAAATACGTACATACATAAATACTTACATGCATGAATACATACATAAATACACACTATTACACAAATACAGAACAGTTTACAAACAATGCCACTGTCGGTCACCACTGTGCAGCATCCTTTAATTTGAGCTAGGGTTGTCGTGTCTTGCTCAAGGACACACCCCAGTGACCACCCAACTGATCCCTGTGTCACCGACACTTGCTTGACATTACTTGAGTCTAAACTCACTACTCACTTAGCCACTGGAGCCCCCTGTGTAATTGACACTGCATGTACGTTCTTTTTCTTTTAATTTGGTTTGATATAGCTGCTCTATATTTTCTATGCAGCTGTGTGTATTTACTTAACATTTATTTACTTAACCCTATCCGTACGCCCTGGGGTCATTTTGTACCCCCGGGGTTGTATTTTTCACATTTTAGAATACTTCTAGTAGTACGAAGATCTCTTTGAAACTTTCAGTATTTCTCAAAAATCATTTTGACAGACTGCTGTGCAAAGCGTACGGATCGGATTAACGAGCAAGTTTCCTCTTAGGAAAGTGGTGGCACAGAGTTCCCCACGTCGTATGGATACGATAGTGACACACGACGTACAGATTGGGTTAATTTGGTTTGATATAGCTACATTTTCTATGGAGCTGCGTGTATTCCCTTAACATTTACTTAATTAAGGCGGAAAAAAAGAATAACATGTAAGAAATGGAACTATTTTTTTATTTCCAACACCTCGAGTGTTTTTGATGGGTGAACACCCAGAGTGCACATTGTGAAGAATTTAAAAAAGAGTTTCATGCATTATATCTGTCTGTTTATACACATAGTTATTTATAACCAATTCAAGTATTCAATGAGAAATGCATAATATATTACATCCCTTAAGGGAATTCGAACTTGTGATAGCAAAAGAACGGCCAAACCTGCCTTAGTGATCATCTATACTAACAACAACTGCCCTGTGACAGCCTTACATTTTTCCTATGTTATATCTGTCCCCGCGGTTTTATGCAAACTGAAATTATGCAAACTGAGCTCAAAAATGTGAAATTATGCGATTCTGTTAATAAGAATGATAAAGGAAAATAATCAGAAATTATGAAAAAAATGATCAAATTTTGCTGAATTATGCGGAATGCATAAAACCACGGGGACAGTTCTATGGAGAGAACACAGGGGAAGAACGACGGTAGTCACAAACTGAAAATCGTGAGGGTATCAATTTTGCACGCTTGTTGACTCATAACTGTATTTCTGTTCAACTATTGGTTGATTATTGTTGTTAGATTTCCCATTCAACAACACTTAACAATAAACCACCAGTCAAAAAAATATGAAGTTATGAGTCCACAAGCTTTTAAAATTGGCACCCTCACAATTTCCAGTTTGTGACTAAGGTCGTTTTTCCTCTGTGTTCTTCATATAATGATATATTATGGTCGTTTTTAAGGCAAGCAGGCTAACCCAGATTTCGGGGTTTCCAAAATCTTGACCTACTCCAAAAGTGGGCATTGCCCTACCTATAGGATAAATTTGGTTTCATTTGTGTGTATATTTGTTTGGTTATAGAAAAAATTCTCCTTGTCTTTTAAAGAGACTGAATAAGAATCCAAAAACTTTAACTTCGATTTTCTCAAAGCAGCATTTTTCGGGATAGCCCCCTTGTCCTTAAAAGCGACCATATATATATATATATATCTATATTTCAACCTGCCTATAACTGTCCCAGTCCAATTTGGCCATGGTGAGTCATGTCCAGGACAAGTTGGCATGCGGTCACCTAGCTGCTACAAAAGTTTTCCGCCAACCCATCCACAGGATGAGAGAGTGTGTGTGCGGTAAATACAGTTTTTACTGTATTATAACACTTTAATTCTGAAAGCTGACTGATGATCTTTCTAGTGTTCTTTAACTCTTTATCTCTGGCAAGCCACTCCCTGCGGCTCACGGTCAGAACCACTTTGCCGGTGAGTCGATGACAGCGGCTCGGGCACATTACTTTACGACGACTTCAACATCAAATTACTTTTCTTTAATTGCCAAAAACAGGTCTCTTTTATCGGAAGTTCATTCATTAGATGAAGAACTGTCAAAATATGTTTGCTAGTTTCAATTTAATGACTAATTTAATGACGTTTTTGTCTTTTTTAGATTTAGTACCAAAAAAGGCCCCCCGACATAGTGGGTTTACTTTACCCCCCTCGGAGATAAAGAGTTAAAATGAAAGGAATGAAGCTAGATTATACCACAGAACAGGGTGGAAGTCTTTGTCAGATATACTGTGTTATATGAAAGTGGATTTGTCTGGTGTCTGCCAAGAAATGATATGTCAATATGTACTTCGAAAAATGTTTTCTTGGTTTTTGTTCTTTTTTGTGACATTTTTGTCTTTACTATCAGCATTGTACTACATTATAATTATAGCTTCTTTTTTTTTG